AAAACCCCCAATGTTAAAGTATGCAACCGTGTTTAAACGGAGGATTGTGAGGTGCGCGTATGCCCTTCCTCACTCCTAACCGAACCCCCGAACCCCGATCTCTGCGCAAACCTGTTTTAGGTGACTTGTCCCACCTTATAATTTGGACGAGTGGCGACTCTCCTTTTTCTTTTTATATTTTCACACTTAATCCCTTTTTAAGTGGTCGTCAACAGTTTGGCGACTCCACTGGGGACTGAACCTAGAATCTCTGGTTTCCATATTCTAGGTTCACGAGGGTCGAGCTAATACTTTAACTTTGGGGGATTTTTCTACTTTTGATTTTCTTTGTTTGTTGAGTCTTTGTGGGTCTTTGTCATTTGTTGCATGTTGCTTCTTGTTGGTTGCTTATTGCGTGTTTGCTCATTGTTTTAGTGGTTGCTTTGATCATTTTTGTCTTTGAGTGATTATTTTGTCATATCATGACATGCATCATCCCTTGCTCACATGTTCATGCATCATATCATCTCACATGCTCATCCATCATTGATATTATATGCTTAATCATCATGCATCATGCTTACATGCCTATTTGCTTGTGTGTGGGTATACTCACCTTTTGCACTTGGCTATGGAGTACTCAGTGAGTCTCTTCCCTCTTGTGCGATTATTTATATTTTGTTGCATGATAAGTGTTGGTTGCTTTGTGTTACTAACCTTTTGCATTTGGCATGGGAGTACTAGGTGAGTCCCTTCCTGCTGTGTAAGTAGGTTTGTTTGTGGGTGATATATTTGTTGAGTGTTTTATATGCTTTATTTGATTGTCGTGGGATATATGTTTTTGTTTTTGTGGTTGCCATTGTGCAGGTTATTGGAGTATCATGCCCCTTGCACACACTCACTCTCATTTTGCATTAGGTCTGTGTCGGAGGTGAACCCGACCTCTAAGTCTGGAATCCTTATGAATCTGGCTTGGAAGAGCAATTCTTCCCGCTTTGAGGAGTAAGATTGGTTCCCGTAAGGTTGTTTCCATTGGCTAATACGACACTTGATGATGTAATATCATTCTGTGTATTAGATTTTGGAAATATCTCCCGTTAATTCCGAAAGGATAAATGGTTGAGAAGGCCTAATGCCCTTTAGGAAAACATGTATTGGCTTTAAAGAGATACCAACCCTAGGACATGTTTCCCTTAGCATCCCACCCGTGAGGTTAGGGATCCCATGTCTAAGACACAAAAGGGCATTTTACTTCACTAACCTTGTCTCCGCATATGACGGGTTTTCATTTTTATAGACATTTGAGGTATGATTAGTCATTCATCTTCTGCATTTAAACATCATTCTTGAGGTTAGGTACATTCCATGCACTTTGTATCTTCACTTTCAACCCCATGCATAAAAAAAAAAAAAAAAAGAAAGAAAAGAAGTTTATGATGGTTTCACATGTCATATATCCATCTCATTCATTTCACATTAAATCTTCCATATGTCTTGAAAATTTCACGTATGTCCATTGTATTGCATTTTCCATCTCATGCATCATAAAATATGTTTACATGTTCATCTTGTGGGGCATTCTTCATCATACTCCTTTTAAATCCCATTTTTCATCTCATATTTCACAAAAATTTACAAAAAAATGAAATTCCACTCATGTTCATTACATTACATCTTCCATCTCATATAAAAATTGCATTAAAAAAAATCTCATTCACATGCATTACACTGCATTTTCTATCTCAAATTTTCATTTCAAGCATTATTATCTCTCTCTCATATTTCCCATATTTCATAAAAGTTGCATAAAAAAAATTTTAAAATGGTGAAAAATGAAAAAAAAATGAAAATTTTATCCATAGTGCTAGTTTTCCTCTTATATTTCTTCATCTTTTTACATTTCGAAAAAAAAAAAGAGGGGCATGAAAATGAAAATTTCTCCCATGTTCATTTCACAGCTCACTTTTCATCACATATTTGATTCCAACCACCACTATTTCCATCTCATAGTTCAAAAACAAGTCCATAAAAATGAAAAATGAAAATTTTATTCACTTGCAGTTTGCATTGCATCTTCCATCTTACATTTCATTTCAAGCATTGCTATATTTCATTGTCTTTACTTTATAAAAATTGCATTAAAAAAAAAAAATCTTATCCATGTTCAATTCTCATTCAATCCCATTTTGTCATTGCAACTCATATTCAACCTTACATCACATTTTCCATCCCATGTCAAATTTACATTCATTTCATGCTCATTTCATGTTTAGAGTAAAATCAAATTTGATCCCCATATTTTCTTGTTCTTCAATCAAGTCCTTTAAGTCATGATTTTCAAAAAAAAAAAAAAATGTACAAGCTCTCATTCGAAGATGTTCTCACCATCTTGCATTTTCGCTTGCATGTTTCGAACTTGTGGGCCTTTTTCAACCAAATCCAAAGCATTTCACATTTTTGAAAAAAAAAAAAGAGAGGCTCTTCCAAGATAAATTCATGAAAAGTCCATCTTTTAGACATCAAAATAATTTGAGCACATGATTTTGGGGAATCACATCATCCATTTTCTCCAAGTATCACACCATTCATTTTCTTCAAGCTTCATGGCATTTGCTTTCTTTTCAAAAGAATGATATTTCCTATGAATGCCAATTTAATGGGTAGCAACAGTGACTCACCAACTTCTCCTTTGAAATTTGCTTGGCATACTTAATGAAGAAAATTCATGTTTTGGAGACAATTTCACACACCTTACCACTTGTCAGCATATTTATATTCTTGCATCCTTTATCACTTATTTCCCATCCATGGTTATTTCTTTTCGTGCATTCCCAAAAATGCATGCTTTAGGATACAACTCCACACACATTATCACTTTAGAGCATATTCATGTTCTTTCATCCTTCATTTGTTGTTTAGCATCCATCTTTATTTCTTTTCTTGCATTCCCATAATCTTGCTTGATTCTCTGCCTTCAACAATTGAAATATGGGTTCATACATGGTCAAGCGCAATTCTTTGTCAATCAAGACACCTTTTGAAATATTCATCCATGGAGATAGCTTTGACCAATAGAGGATTGAGGAGATCTTTAACTGCAACATTTTTCTCCATCGTGGACAATTGCCAAGTCCAAGGGGCAAGCTTAGAAGGACAAGAACCAAGAGCAACCTCAAAGATCAAAAGCTCAAGCACATCGCACTTTATATGGCTCTAGCAATCAAGGGATTCTCCAAGGAAAGGAATACAACTACTCATTGAACAATCATACTTTGAGAGATCTAGGAGTCAGATTTTGCTAGGAACTTGAATGCTACCATGTTGATGTACTTAGTGTGATGTACTAGGCTTTTACTTTGTAATGAATGACCATCTTTGTAATGCATGTTGAACTACTTGTAAATGTCTTCTATGCAGCCCTTGGAGTCTATGGAAATCTCAAGGCGTTCAAAGATATTTTGCTTCATCCGAGGCTCCTTAAGGATTGGAAATCGACAATGTGTGAATCCATATAGTAATTGTTGAAGCATTAAATCATGCAAAATTATGGGATGACTTCTAACATTATTCTGACTTTGTTTATTTTTCTTTTACTTTTTGTTTGCAGGTAAGTATCATAAACTACTTCAAGAACACAAAAAAAAAAAAAAAAAAAAAATCAGGCATGACAATCTCCCCATGTTTTCTCTCTCTTTGGAGCAATGTATCATCCATCTACAAGACGGCCTCAACATGCTTTTATAAACTCACCAAGATATGATGTTGAAGTGGACTTACACATGAGACATGAATGAGGGGGCAAATCTAGGACATGGGGAAATTTGGGTATTATTGCTCTTAAGGATGAACCCTTATTTGACCTGACCATTACTTCTGCCTTGGGGACACTTTGACCAATTGGACAGTCAAGTTTTTCTCTGCTTCATTCATTCATGAGTGGGATGAGTCAACTTTCTAATAGCTCAGCTTGTGGCTACATGAAAGAAGGGAATAACAAGCTCTTTTATATTCTCTGAAATATTTGCTATCATGCTAATTAGTTTTCCAATCTTTACAATTCAGTCTCACATGTTGCCATATCACCATCCATTAAACTTGATGCAACTCTTCTTGTTAATCATTGTCCAAACCATCATTCACCATTGAGACATCATTTGATGCCATTAATATGCTCAAAAAAAAAAAATACAAAACAAAAACAAAAACAAAAAAAACTTGCATATATATGCTTTCCTCACATGCTGTTGCTTACCCATGTTTCTTTTTGCTTTCAGGCTTTGCTAATGATGAATCTGAATACAATGATGCCATTTTCAGGATTGGTATATGGTTCAAATGATCCAAATCCATGTCGAGGAAGATGTTGGTGATCTAGATTCTTCCCTTGAACTAATTGATGTGTTGCAAAATAGAGGCCAAAGTTGCAGTCAACTGTGATAGACTCATACAAGAAGAAAATGGTGAGCAAAGATCTAAAAAAAAAAAAAAAGAGAGAGAGAATAAGGAAATCTTGCTAATTTAAGTTGAATGATTGCATCATTTTGAGGTCTAAAGTGAAAAACTTAAGGATCAAAGGCCATCTTTCATGAGCCTAATTTCTAAACACTTTACCCAAAAGAGTCATCCTTTTGTCAATCAAGTTGAGCCTAAAAGAAAAACTAAGCCTTTCTTT